TGTAATTACTTGAAGATGATGAGGGTGAGAGAGTAAATATGTCATTTTCGAAAAAAAAAATAAAAAAACAAATTGATGGCATTTTCGTGAATTATATGAACTTGTGGGGTGAATTGGACAAAATAAAGTTCCAAAAAAAAAGGAGGTTAGTTTTGTGGTTGACTTCAAGTTTCAGGTCAATTATGCAAAAAGCCCAAAAAAAAAAGTCAATTCATCATGAAGTTCTCAATCTCAGCACTGAAGCAGGTACAACCAATCTTGAGCTTCAAGAACAAACTCTCCATGGTCAACGTTAACTCTTTCCTCTATCCCCAAGAAAAAGTCGTCTTCGTTATGGGAGCCACTGGTTCCGGCAAGTCACGTCTCGCCATCGACCTAGCAACTAGGTTTCAAACCGAGATCATAAACTCCGACAAAATCCAAGTTTACAAGGGCCTCGACGTCCTTACAAATAAAGTGACACCTCAAGAATGTCGAGGCGTGCCTCACCACTTGCTTGGTGTATTTGATTCTGAAGCTGGAAACCTAACGGCCACGGACTTCACTAACCTTGCGTCACAAAAAATCTCAACACTCTCAGCTAACAACAAACTTCCTATAGTAGCTGGTGGATCAAACTCATACATCGAAGCACTTGCGAACCATTCGTCTGGACTCTTGTTAAACAACTACAAATGTTGTTTCATTTGGGTCGATGTTTCCTTACCAGTTCTTAACTCATTTGTCTCAAAACGTGTCGACCGCATGATGGAGGCAGGACTACTCGAGGAAGTAAGAGAAGTATATGATCCCAAAGCGGATTATTCGGTCGGGATACGACGAGCTATCGGGGTCCCGGAGCTTCACGAGTACTTACGTTACGAATCTCTAGTGGACTGTGTTACAAAAAGAAAGATGCTTGACGTAGCGGTTAAAAAGATAAAACAGAACACAGAGATATTAGCATGTCGACAGTTACTAAAGATTCAACGCCTAAGCAAGAAGTGGAAGTCGTGTATGCACCGCGTGGACGCAACGGAAGTGTTCTTGAAACGTAACGAAGAAGAAGCAGACGAGGCTTGGGAGAATCTTGTAGCGAGACCGACAAAGAGAATCGTCGACAAGTTTTGTAATAGCCATCATGTGATGAGAAATAATGATGTTGAGCATTGTTTGACTACCATTGGAGCGGCGTCTTACGGCGGAGGAAGTGGAAGTAGGGCTCACAATATGATATGAAAACAAAAACCTTTTCTTTTGTGAAACTTTTTGGAGTGTGAGTTAAAGATTTACTTATGTGTTGTGGTTATTTTCACCGGAGGATTTTTTTTTTGCAACATACAGATGTGTGACACAGTACCTCGGTGAAATTTTTTTTTTAATGTTTGTATAGATGAGATTCCCTTGTATTAAATATTTGATACCTATTTGAGCTCACGACAACCGAAAGTTATCATTCCTTGTGCCACGATATCAAAATTATGTGTATCGTTTAATATATTAACGATATTTTGTCTTGCTTTTTGCTGTATTTGGTATCTCTTAGCCTTACATTTACGCATTCATGTTATTGGTTGAAGCTAAGAAACTAACATTGTTTTTTGTCAGCTGCTAAGAAACTAACTATAACAGTTAAATTCCCTAATTTGAAAACGTTTTTTGGCTAAAAGCAGCTGGTATGCCTAATGTAATGAAGCCTTAATAAGAAAAAAAAATGAAACTATAAGAACATATCTTAAAAAAACCTATAAGAACATATCCATTAAAAATAGAGAAAATGACTAGAATAAACCTAAACTTTTTTTTGTCACAAATATAGACATTAACAATTAAAATGACCAAAATAGCATTTAAATGTTTTATTAAATATACATTTTACCCCATGGGTTAACTAATTCTAGATCTTTTTTGTTTAGAGTTGAGAAGTGGAGTTTTGGGGATAGGGTTTCAAATTTAAAAAAAATAAAAAAAAAACTTAAAATTTTCAAAATAAAAAGTGTTATTTTGATCATTTTAATTTTTGAGGTTTATTTTTGTGATAAAAACTTAAAGAATGCTATTTAAGAGAATTTCCCTTAGAAATATTTATCTATTTTTTTCTTCAGGACTTGTATAAAAAAAGTTAATAAGAAAGAAAGGAAAGGAGGTTCTTAAACGGTTTTTTAAAGTTCATGAGAAACTTATGAAACATTTTTCTTCTATGCGTGCTCTTTCATTATATAACTAATTTATAGTAAAAATATTAATATTTTATTTAGAAGTTTTAGAGACGGAGGTACATTTATAGTTAAAAAATAATATTTTAGTTTTTGTTAATGTTGTGAAGTTTAAGCTATAACATTTATTGATCTCAATCCTTCCTTCTAAAACAAAGCATACTATGAATTCATGTTATTGGCTGAAGCTAATAAACTAATTACAGCAGGTAGATTTCCCTAATTTGAAAATGTCTTTTGGATAAAAAACAATTGTGGCCCTTTCTCAAAAAAAAAATTGTGGTATTGTTTTTTCTAATTTTATTATTCGATATTCTATGTATTTTCTATTTTTCTATATTATTGAGAGATTTAATTAAAAATGTCCTATTGTAGTAACACATGTTTTCTTCTTCCGCAATAGCATACAAAGTGACAAATGGAAAAATAGTATAAATAGCAATTAAACATGTTTTTCTTCCAGAATAGCACATGATAAAACAAAATAATATTTAGTTACAGGATATAAGAACACATATACTTCTACATTTAGAGAATTAAAAAGTAAGGTTTAGATTTTTGGAAATGTGGCTTAGGAGTTAGGAATTATAATGTACAGTCTAGGATTTAGAGTTTAAGATCTACTCCCTCCCTTTCGAACAATTTGCTTCAAAAAGATGTATTTTTTTTTTTATATTTTCAATGTATAATTTAAGGAAAAATTATAGATAAAAAAATTAATTGTGTTTCTTAAAATTCTATTGGTTAAAAAAATATAAGGAATTGTTATCTATAATAAATGATGCATTGATAATCAAAGTTTTCTGTTTTTTCTTAATATGTGTAAAAAAGCTAAAATATTTAACTTTTTGAAACAAAGGGAGTAATTGTTAGAAATATCTGATTTTCAAACATATATTTTTAAATATTTATTTGTATTAAATGTATTATTTTTAGGAGTGATTTAGTATTTTTATACTTGTAATAAAAGTTGGTTGCTAATTTCTTTATTATGAGCTATTTTATGATAAAATATCTTATACTATCTATGAGAATTGTTCTTTAATAGAAACTTACTAATAAAATTGATCTTAGCTCTTAGATTGTATCTACTCTATTAAAATAGAGTCATTCTTTTTATCTACTGATACAAGTTGTTATTTAAATTTGGACCCTTTCTAGAGTGTTACAAATAATACAAGTCATATAGCTAATTGAACCGCATTACTTAAATTAAACCGGTGGTTATTTATGGGATATAGTATTGGGCTTACTTTTGTTTTTAAAACAAATTATATGGTTTGGTTTTGGGCTTAATATTAAAAAAAAACTCCAAAAAACATTGAATAAACCTTTCACCTTAATGAATCAAAAATCAATTATTATTTTCGGGTCCAAAAGATATTTAATATTTTTAACAAAACAAAATTATCTATTATTAAACATTTATTTAAATCATGTACTTTAAAACATGTTACTGTATTTTTTATTTTAAATAACAATCACTTTTTTTTTGAAATTTCAATGGTAACTTTTAAATAATTTATTCTTTTATTTTCCTTAAATAATTTATTGATTTAAAAAAAAAAGCAAAACCAAAAACCAAATCTAAAAACTAAAATCCAAAACCAAAAGCTGAAAACGCAGGTTATATTTTTTGCTTTTGTTTATTTACAAAACAATTGCAATTTTTTTTTAATTTTTTTTGTCATTTTTTCATTTTTAAATTAGATGTTCGATTATTTGAGATTTGTTTGTTGGTAATATCAATTCAAACTGACTCAGCAAATCTAAAAATTAAAAACCCAAAACAAAAACTAAAAATCAAAAATAGAAACTTAAAAACTAAAAACCAAAAACTAAAAACTAAAATCTAAAACACAATCTAAAAATAAAAACTGACACTAAAAACTAATGAAAAACAATCATCAGCACAAGTTTTGGTGAACTGATTTTATATCAAAACATTCTTTAAATTAAGAGAAAATCCAAATATACAAATTTTTAATCATAAAAATTTTCGCGCTTGAAAAGCGTGGGTCAAAATCTAGTTAAATTATTATATCGCACTCTATCAAGTGAAAGTTATACTATCAAGTGTAAGTTATATACACTTTTCACCTGTGAAGCAAAGTGATTTCAAAATATCTATGAATCTATATCTAATATAACATGTTCGCTTCCTTGTAACTGCAAAATTTGAAACATTTGAAGTAAATGAACTACTTGAACAAATAGTATAAAGTTAATCAAGAACAAAATAGAAGAGAAAGGGGAATTCGACCAAAAAAAGCACGAACTTTGTACGAATTGTCAAAAAAACCATGTACTCGAACCTTGCCAAAAAAACCCTGTACTTTTGTTGACTTTTTTTTTATTTATTAAGCAACTTAATATTGACTGACCATATCAGCACAACGTTAAATGCAACGTTAAATGTTGCCGTTAAGCGAAACGACGTCGTTTTCAAATGAGATGAAACGACGTCGTTTTACATGAATTTAAAAATAAAAACATGTACACATGCGGATTCGAACCCGGGTTGATTGAGTCAAATGGCAAGGCGTTTTACCGCTGGGCTAGTGGCACTTTCAATGTAATTACTAACACATTTAATTTTATTTGGTACTGGTTGAATATCAAAAATTGTCTAAAAACTTAAATATATCTGTAAAATTCCAAAAAGTTAAAGAAATAAAGATTTTTTTATAAATCAATTTGTAAATTAAAATAAAAAAATAAAATTTTATATTTCTTTAAGAAATCAAAAGTCTTCCAAAATATTCATTTTAAAAAACAATTGCTAAAAATTGAAATTATATAAACACAAAAAATACCCACATATTAAAATTAAATTAAAATGCTTAAAATAAATATTGTACCCAGTATGAGTGTGATTTTAAATTTTATCTAATAATTTTAACTTAATTTTTTGCATTTTCTTTGAATTTTTAATTTTTTGGAATTTTGAAAAAAACATTTTGGAAGACTTTTGATTTTTTAAATGAAAAAATAAAATTTTATTTTTATTTTAATTTCAAAATTAATTTTATAAAAAATGTTTATTTCTTCAACTTTTTGGAATTTTAAAATCTTTTAAGTTTTTTAAAATGAATATTTTGGAAGACTTTTGAAATTTTTTTAAAAAATAAAATTTTATTTTTAATTTAATTGCAAAATTAATTTTATAAAAAATTCCTTATTTTTTTTTTAATTTTTTGGAATTTTAAAGACCTTTTTAAGTTTTTAGACAATTTTTATATGTAATCAGTACCAAATAAAATTAAATGTGTTACTAATTACATTGAAAGTGCGAGTAGTCCAGTGGTAAAATGTCTTGCTGTTTGATCCCATCAACCTGGGTTCGAATCCGCAGGTGTACATGATTTTATTTTCAAATTCATGTAAAACGACGTCGTTTCATCTCTTTTGAAAACGACGCGTGCTAAATTGGCAAGTCAACGGAAACTTTGTTATTTAATTCTAAAGTCAATGAATTTTCTGTGTTTTTTTTTGGCCAACCTAAAATTTCATGTTTTTTTTGGCAATTCATGCAAAATTCGTGTTTTTTTGGTCGAATTCCCGAAGATAAAGGGTATGAGCGCGTGAGTCTCGCACGTTGCTTCTGAGTGAAGAAATATGTTGTCAGCGAGTTTGAGAAGGCGCACGCTTGATATAGGATTTTCCGTTCATAACTAAGAGCAAAAGCGTGTGGAGAAGGTTGTTGCATCAAATCATAAATGACGTTCGTCCAGTTGTGAATGAGAGGCACTTATTAATTGTAATGTAGTAGTTTCGTTATTAATTAGTAGTTTCGTTATTAATTACTGTATTATTCATGGACCATCCATTAAAATTTAAGTACACAGGCGTCAAGTCATAACGCATCTTAGGAGGCAGCATCTTAGGAGAAGGAGGGGATGAAGTAAACTAATGTCACAAAGAGGCAGCATCTCATGTCTTTCTTTCCCTTATTCTTTGGTTTACAATTTTTGTTTCTTTATTTGAAAGGACAGATGATATTTTTATCTTATTTGGTTTACA